AGGATTGCAAGCGGTAGAAGTACCGTGCCATACGGCGTGTGTGCCACGTGTCTGTATTGTCATCATTCAACCTCGATCTCACGACCTGTCACTGTCACATGTTGCATGGCTGCGGTCTCGCGGCCGTCCACGAGTGCGTCAAGTGGTTGTTTCTCACCGTACCGGCTGTTACCGATCGTTCAAGCCTCGGTGTTTTTTCTCGCTCTGTTTTCTTCTTCGCCTACTCGTATTTGCTCATCTTTTTTGTTGTTGCGGCGGTACAAACAAGGGCATTGTGCTTAGAGCCATGTGTGTGCGCAGCGTGGTAAAACAAACGCAACAGGTCGTCCCTATATGACGAGAGTTTTTGTTGGTTGTCGGGGGGGGGGGGCCTGTGTGATGAGAAATGTCAGGTAACGGAGGAAATGTTAAGAGGAAAGAAACAAGTATGAAACGAAACTAGTTTTGCATTTGAGCTATGACTACGTCACTGCTTCACTACTTCATTTTTTTTTTCAACATAAAACTCGAAAGCTGAACATTGTGTTTCATTGTTCTTTAGGAATTTGTTTTCCTTGCCAAAGTGCCGGGTAATTGATGAAGTTGGGTGATTAAGAGCATTTTGTTTTAGCACCAGATTTCACAAAGGCCTAGCGTCGTCTTTTTCTCGTGTCCCACTTTTACTTCACCACGCAATTACCACAAAAAACAATTAATCTGGAGCGTAGTATTGCCATATAGGCCTAACTCTATATTAAATTAATGAATTTACACACAAAACTGCTGTCTTTACACATTTGTTGTTACCTCCCCGGCACCACGTGTTGCCACACTGCGTAAACATTCCGTTGTAAAACCATCACCCCACGGCACACGTGTTGTATTCCCCATATGCGCACGACGGCAAAATGACAAAGACTGCTATTATTAGATTCATCCAACCAGAAGACATTTTTTCCCCCATTTTTTTTTGCTTGTCTCCATGGCATTGTGTCTTAACACAAAGGATACCTCGCCCATCCTATGCAATCACTTCACCGTCTCTCGTCCCATTTCCTGCCGTCCTTTTCAGCCGAGGGACCCGCAGGTGCAACGGACGCGCCCGCTCGCACGTGGCGCAGCGCGACGTACGTGCGGTTTTCCCCCTTTCTTCTCAAAGCACGACACCGCGCAGATTTTGGGTTCGGGTTTTCACTGTCGGAATTTCAAAAGTTCTTGATTATTTGTCCACACTTTCCTTGAGTAGATTATTCAATTTGGAAAGTGCAGAGCGACACTTTGGGTACGGTTAAATTTCCTGTAATGTATATGATAGAGGAAGCTTTAAAAGGGAAGAGAGTTTATCTAGGGAACCTGGATTTCGGGGAATGTTTGTTTTAAAGCTGGCATAGAAGCATCAGCCTTTGTTTGTCAGGTGTTAATGATCAGTTTCAGTATTTTCTTCCAACTTTTGCCATACTTTGTATTAATTACTGTTGAATGGACCTCGTCCTATTTGTGTTTGTAAGCAGTGCATTGCTCACAGTTTTGACACACGGCAATTGTTTTGCAATGCACTCACCTTGAAACGGTCGCAACATTGCGCCCTCTATGATTAGGGGACATCAAAAGCATAATGTTTCTTGACTCACAGACAGTCACAAAGGATTGCTATGTGCATGTGCAGTAATTGCGCTTTTAACTCAATCAGGAAAGCATCAATTTGCTGTTGATACGCAATCCAGTGCATTTTGTATTTTCAATAGCGAAAGTGTGTCCGTAGGCCTATGCCTTTTGTTATAACTAAACCTATGAGGCATCCACAACGCCAAAATGTCTATGGGATTTGTAATGCAAAATATTTCAAAATGGCGCCACTACGCCAGCTGCCAGTGACAGTTCTATCAAACAAAAAACACCAATTTTTATTCAATCGATACACAACGGAATCTGTTGGCCCGTTGTGCAACCACATGATTCAATTTCCATCAATACTGCTTGCATTTAAATTGTAGAGTGACATCCTGGGCTATTTAAGATCGCTTTGTCGGCTAAAATTAAATTGCAGCGTTCACATTGTCATTTTTTTTTCAACCGAATGCGGTGTTTTCATTGTAGTGTCCCTTCTCCATGGTTGACGGCGCTTGTTTTGTTATATACGCGAACGCCACACATTTTGAATGATTATTCTACAGCTTCCGATGTAGAATTAAAACCAGCCTTGTGACACTAGTCTTGGTACCAGCTGTCTTCTCATATTGGGCTCTACGCCTTCAATCTCCCATTGATTTCTTCTACGGAGATAACCGTCGACGAAATTCGTACCAGTTTGCTTTGGTGTCTCGAAATTGCCACCGCTGCTGTTTTTAATATCAAACGCTTGAATAATTGCAGCCAGCAATAATATATTGGAATCATTAATCATTGTCTGTTGTATATCTTGGGTTTTGCATTAATGAATTCAGTGGCTGGGTTTTTTTATTATTGGATCTTTTGTACTGCAAACAGAAACAAGTCGGAAAGATATACGCCAGGTGAAAATGACATTTTGCAAATGAGTAAACATCGATAAGTGTTGTACCATTTAAAACTGTATTGAAAATACTATCCATGTATCAAAACATTGCCGTCACCCAGCAGTGTATAACTTGTCCGATGCATCAACACGGGCCTAAAAGATGACACTTGGCATATGCAGCAAAATAATTAAGTATTAATAACTTTTAACTGCTTTGGTACTGGTGCCTTATGTGAGCGAGCTAGACAATGTAACGAGGCCAAAGTACATTGTACATAAATTTTTCCTATATAATTGATGTCACAGGCACACAGTTTAAACATAAAAAATTGTGCATCCGCATCCTCCGACAAAAGAATATTGAAATTTAAGTAGCAGTGATCACCACAAACAACCTACAACCTGAGTTATAGCAGCTAATTGCAGTGTGCTGTAATTTTAGATTGCATAGAGAATGACAGCAGTTTTACGCCAAACTTTATATAGCTGTGATGTGGCGTCAAAGAGTGCAGTATTGAGCTGACTAACATGTTCTGACTGCTCCGAATTCTGGTACACATGTACATATGTAATTACTTTTTAAACTGAATATAGCGTGATAAACTTTACTGTCAGTTTGGTTCGTGCAATCGTGGGTTCAGAGATTAAGAGGTCAGCCATCTTTCTATACAGTTTGTTCTCGCGTTCCACACGAACCCCCCCCCCCCCCTCAAGTTAATCCTGGCATGCCACTACGAATGTGTCTACCGTGTGGGCAATAGTAATATTCTCTGCAGCAGGTACAAAGTACCATTAAGGTGCGATTGAAAAAAAATGTCATTGATGTCAGACCACTTTCGGAGCTGGGATCGATAAAACAGACACGGACGTTGTGGTTGCGCAACTTGCGCGCAGCCTGTAGATGCATTTGGCAAACATTTCTTAGCGTCCCTCTGCCATTTCCCCCAAATGATTCTAGTGATTGGAAAAAGTTGCAAAAACCACATGACGTGGATCATGTGTGGCAACAATAGTCATGACATTGGTTCTTCAGGGGACATATGTGGAGGGACTCACGATTGGTCACACCGAGTGACGTGGATTATTTGTGGTAATGTGATTGGTCGAACGGATGATCACCCAGCCGCCATGAGGCAACAGCTGTACTTCATTCTTTAGTGGGAATTTGTTGCTTTCGAGGTGTCAGAACTGGACCCGAACTCATAAATAAAGAACGCGATTTCACAGAATGTATAAAATCGATAGAGATGGAAACGGGATGGTTATTTTGGGAATGGTCATTTTAATCTAATACTGTCTGGCGTTAGTCGAGCGTGGTCAGTACGTTCACACCTTTCAATTGGACGGCCTCGGTCCCTGGAGAAAAAAAAAGGAAAATAATCGTGACCTCGCCGGGTCACCTTCACTGTGGGAACTGGACTGGGATGCATTCAAAGGGAAACCAGAAAAATCCGAACGTCTTAAGCCTCAAGGGCGTCAGATTGTGTAACATTTCATTCGCCTTTTACAGCCACTTAAGCCATTTTGTCCAAATACATGGGTTTCATGATAACCGAGGTTTGATTTAAGCGCTAAGGTGTTAACATTCTTATTACAGTATGCCTATTATTATCCCGCAACCCCATGCGTTTATGACATTGAATCCGTTTGCAACTTCGATCCGGGATTAAAGGTCGATGGTAGAGTAAGAATTGGCAGTAACGCACGACCTGGAAATCCAGCCGTCCTATGTTCTGTTTAGACAGCAGGTGATGGCGTCTCTCCTAATTTTCATTCATAATTTCCCAGCTCTCGGGAAGCCCACAAGATGGTAAAGTGATTTCCTTCTCCGAATCCGGTTCCCTTGGAGGGGTCCAGAAGGTCCCGGTGGCCCGGTCTGATAGGGATACTTCCCTTGATCGCCAAAAGAGAAACTTGTTGGTCGCCCAAGGGGGGGGGGGGGCATAAAACATTTCAGGAACGAGGAAATACTTCATGGTATCGGGGCACGCCTGTCACTTTTGCCTCTCGGAACTACGTGACGAATGTCCGATAAACAATGTGGCTACGTTTCTGTTTCGATTTTGGGGCAGAACAGTCGCGTAAGTAGCTCAGATTTAATGCCAAGTCAACGAACTGCGTCTGCTTTTCTTTCGGTGTCAGTTGTCAGCAACTCTGAAATGTTGATGTAACCTTACAACCGGAATAGGTTGCAGAGTTTGTTTGCCAAAATAAGCCTCATCAATTTATGTGAGTCACAACACGAGAAAATAACAGCTGGCTGGATTTTTGGTCAAAAAGTACATATGCCTCCAATGACCTCGTGACATATACATGTATCTCAGTTCAGACGAAATGTTGAGTTATGTAGAGCATAAATCTTTGATAATTATTTAAAATTCATGCATCATTACTTTGGGGATTAGTTCAACAGAAATATTGTAAGCCTTGTATTTTAATTGACAACCTGGAAACTGGGACAGCTGTTAACATCTGACAGTTTTAAATAATGTGGCCTTCGTTTTTATCTCTTTGTCTTCTGCAGCTACTGTGAAGATCTCTGACAGTGGAGCATCAGATATGTCCTCGGCTGGAGCAGGGGTCATTCATCACAAGAAATTCCGGCCAGCCGGAGGCATCGCTCCCGCCAGCGCTATGCCAGCTACCAAGAAGCGACGAGGCAACCTCCCCAAGGAGGCTGTCAACATCCTGAAGCTGTGGCTGTATGAGCATCGCTACAATGCCTACCCTAATGACCAGGAGAAGATGCACCTAGCCCGGGTGGCCAACCTGACCCTTCTGCAGGTCTGTAACTGGTTCATCAATGCCAGACGCAGGATCCTCCCTGACATGATCCGACGGGAGGGCCGAGACCCGGACAAGTTCACCATCAGTAGACGGTCTCCTGGGAAGCTGAACGGACAGGCGGATGAGGATGGGGTAGGTGCAGAGATGCAAGGAAGTCCTGAGGAGGAGAAGGCACATGCCAGAATCAACTTGGAGGAATCCAGACTCTCCGACAGCGGCAATGAAGCTGACACGTCATCCATGAGTGCCAGTGGCTATGACTCCCCTCCGTACGAGTCTGATGGGTACTCAGAGGGAGCCCCCTCGCCCCGCCCTCCATCAACCACCTACCATCACGATCACACCCAACGCACGGAATTCTCCCAGAATGACCTGATGTGCATGGAGCGGGATGTCTCCAGCCCGTCTCTGAGTGATGCAGGATCAACGAGCGCAGGACGAGGCTGCAGTCCCTCGTTGACACAGCCAGGGCCGTACCGCAGCTCCCCGCTAACAATGTTACCGTCCTCTGCTCTGAACTACCCGAGCACCTACCAGTATGTCAGAGCACCTTTGGAGTTCAGCCTACCCCATGGGGCTAGTTTCCCAGGCCTACCGCTTCCCCACCCCCATTCCCATCACCAACACACTGAGCTCTACCGTCACCTCAGTCAGTCAAAAGATGGCAACAGACTACCCGTGCCAAACCACTCGCATGTGCCTTCCCAGACGTCTTCGCAAACTCCCCCACCGTCACCTCCACGGGATGAGTCCCCATCCTTGCGACCGTCACCCGCGGCAACCAAGATGGAGGCGGATACATTCAGCAGGTTTTACATGCTGGTAGATGCTGCCATCTCGAGACGAGAGTGCGAACAACAGGTGCATCAGCACCCCGGACATTACGGACAACCTGTCGCTTGCTTGTAGCTGATACTCAGCCAACTTGGGCTTATTCTTAATTGAGGCAGTTCTACACGCCGTATCCAACATTTCGTGGGCAGCTGTGTTACAGGACACTTGTTTCAGTCATCTTGTGCCGACTTTAAACACAAACTGCAGTTTAAGAAACGAAACTCCGCCAAGAACTCCGCCAAGAACTATGTCTCAACGGCATCATAAAAGACCCTCTGTATATAGCGTGCCTTCCTGAACATTCCTTGTAGTCGTGAATATGTGACAGTCCAGCTGTTCATCCACTGGCCTGAGATTTCTGATTTATCAGAATCGGGTAAATTGGAGAAAAAAACAAAAACGAGGTGGGAAAAGGATCAAAATGTGGATTGGCACTGTGCACCTTGAAAAGGACACAACAAACAAAAGAAATGCATGCCAACACTTCTCAGTCAGAATGTACATGTATCTGTTTGGCCTCTACTGAAGTGCCTCTTAAATTTATTCCTCATGCTCAGAACAATTCTCTAGATATTGAAAATGGATGAATTTGGATCCAAAAGATTGTATTTTGCAGGATAAGTGATTGGGATTAACTTGAATATTGTGTAGTGAAATGGAGGTATGGCAGCATGCCAAATTTCAAGGCTTGCATGGCACTACTTTAATTCCCGGCCACAGGTGGTGTAGTAGAGGCCATATTGGTCTTGTACCCTGACGGTGAGGTAGTGCCATACTACTGGTTATTGTATTCGATGGACTTTGTACCAGACCATAAGACTCGTTGTGGTGCCTTTATCCTCGTACCCAAGTTTGCAAATGCGTCAGCTTATAAAGGAACATGGTGTTGAAAAAAGTGTGATGGAAATGGAATCGTTCCCAGAAACTAATGTGAGCAATCAAAGATGTAAACGTTCCAAAGCTTCGTTGGGGAAAAATTGATTTGGTTTGATTTGAAAGAAAGAAAACCAAAAAGGTGGTTAACTTGTTTCAGTCTAAAGATTCCAATCTTTTAATGGGAGCTTCGAGCAAATACACTGGGATTTCGTGGGTTTTTTTGTTGTATTTATACAAACATTTGATACTTTTGCAGAAGTGAGTTTTTGTTTTTGTAAAGTTCGTGTGATAGCAATAAAATGAGAAAATTGTTTGATGAGAAAGTGAATAAATTTAGCCTATTCTTCGTTGTGGGAAAAATCTCGAAAATTTTATTTCTAAATTAACTGGGACGATGTAAGTCAGGTTTTCCTTCGTAAAATGAAATTTTGCGTATTTTGCCTAACAGCACTTGTGTATCTTATTTTCCTTCTCTTTTGCCTTTTTTTGTGTCTTCATTTTACTGTTTTTGTGATTTAGAAATTATTTTTAGTTCTAGAAGGATGATTTTTTTTTGTGAAGATAGTAAACGAATACAATGTATGTAGAATCTTTGTTATCGTCTTTCTGTTTGCAATTTCTATTGGATTTAGAAATAAACGATTATGTATATGTACATCAAATCTTGTTTTCTGTTTCATTTATCAGTATTTCTTTTGCACATTATTTTACATTCTGTTACTATCTCGTACAAAGACGTGATGTATCTTACTTCTGATTTTTCACGGCCAGGGTTGGATAAAAATGTAAGAATACATTTCAAAGCAATGTTTTCGCTCAGAAATTTCATGGAACTGAATCAAGGGAATTGTCAAAAGGATGTCAAAAAAATGCGAAGACCTGGAATGTAATGAGCCTTCTCAAATCGTCTAAAAAACAGGAAACAAGTGAAATATTCGGCATATTATACCTGTAGCAAGGAGATTCAGTTTCAAATGGCAACAAAGCCCAGTGAAAAGTTTGGCTGTTTAGATGGTGCATTTCGAAAGATGTGGAAGGGTTTTGTTATAAATATCTGTAAAACTGCACCCACACTTACCTTGCATACCTAATGTGGACATTCCTTTGAACACTGTATTCGTGAAAACCGGAGAAACAATCATGTTACTTGTACTGTGAACAATAACTCTTTCAACCCAATTTTGTTATCATGATTTCCTTGAGTGTTCCTCTTCATGTTGCGACAGATAGCCCGAAACCAAAAACGCCTTTAAACCTGTTTTCTAGAGAGGGGGAACCTTGTGTGGACCTGGCTTAGTCCAAGTCCGCAGGAGGTTCACACAACCTGCATCGTGTTCTGTTTTCAGGTTCACAAAAATAAGGCAAGGTTTGCACACACTTCCAGGCTGACTTAAAGTGACTTTTCGGCTCCGTAAACTTACTCTAATTCCCAGACAGCTAGACGGAACAAAACCCGAACAAAAGTTTACTTCATATTGGCTCAACGCCAAATACACTTTGTCCAGAATTTCCACTCTTGTCATATTTTTTTTTATTCATAAAACCCTGACAGCCTTGAGAAGGGTATTAAACCGCGATGACAAAACGATATTCACGCCTTTCATTTGGCGCCAAAAAGAGTGTAAAGTTAGGCATGGCGAATCAACCGTGAACAAAATAGAAACCTTTTATATTTCTTCGTGTGAATGAAACTCGTCATTTACACAAGGTAGAATTGCAATGGAAAATGGTGTTCGTCGGCTGTGACTTGCAGGGATTATTACGAGTCGCTTCGTGGTGGCAGAGGGACGGAGATGTGAACAGTACAGTGAGTTATATTTACGTATGTTCACTCCGTGTTACAAAATCATTCGCGCGGTCGCCATTTTGTCGTATGTCCAGACGTCACGACATAGTGATGTGCAAAGGTAAATGAAAACACACCTGTCCAGCCTATTTCACGTTGAGAGATTGTGAACATTTTGTTCCTTACCAATAGGACCATTTTGCAAGATTAAATAAAAAATGTTGTCAGCACACATACCTGAAAACACATTCAATGACCTGCTCATTGCCCTCAGGAAATATAAAAATTTAGCTCTTGTTGGTTACTCTTCAAAAGTTTTTGCGGTTTGTCGGGCCTGTTCCCCGAACGAACGTGAATATAATCGCAAATCTAGCCCAGAATTTCATAAACTTGTGCAAGCCCGTCGTTGCAAATCTGTGTTTTACTTGTGCACCAGCAAAAACCTCCGAATGTATCCCAGTTGAAGTCGCACAAAACCGCAAATCAAAGTAACGCCAACGCATTTACTACAATTTTGTGATGCGTATTTACGCGCCGATGGATCAGTGAAAAAGAGAACTTAGGAAGTCACGGTCAGTGCTCGGGTATTAACGGCTCAGTTTTTTTTTTTTTTACAAACAAGCAACTCAGGTTCTTTTTGACAGACGACCGGAAATCAGGTATATCAAGGCGGGGAACTTGTGAAAGAGATCCCGGCGAGATAACTGGCTAGACCCTCCAGGTACTGTGGACTCGTGAAATCGGTCTGCTCTTTGCTCAAGCAAACCTACTCATGCGTGCCACAGGTTGCCGCTGGCTATATTTACCCTTCCTGATTACTTTCAACAACTTTTTTTTCTGGGTTCATTCATCGCACTTTAGTTAATGGATGGATTTCACAAAAATGTGTTCAAAGGTATGTGAAAGTACACGTAGACCTTTGGGACAAAGGGGGCTAATACTAGCAAATAAAGGGAAAATACCATCGCGGATGAGACTGATACTTTCTCACAATAATGTGAAGTCAAGTTGAGAACTGCACCTTCAAAGTTCTAGGAACAAGATTCTGACAGAAGAGACTGTACTGACCCAAAATCAAAAGCTTGAAAGAGTGAATTATTGCCCCGGAAATTCGAGCCTTTTGTGCGGTTTGTGACAAGTTGCAAAAGTGAATGCATGTGCAATAATGTGCACGTATATAGGAATCGCAGTGTACAGCCGTCCCGTTACAGGTAACCTTTCACCAACGCCATCGTGGCTATAACTTGCCCGCATTCGTTAAAGCGGCGAAACCGCAATATGTTTCTCAAGACATACCGTACACTGTGTGTCAAATGCCATGCTTGTATCATCAAAGGCACAATCCCATCACCTATCTGCCGTACTAAAATTATGGGAAACATCTTAGAGGGAAAATACAACATTTGCAAACATCAAAAAACGAAATGATCACATCACAAAATACCTTACTGGATTGTTAGGGATTGACAGTCTAAAGCATCCTGTAATATCGTAGCTCCTGGTGTGCTGACATTTTTATGAAAAACTGTATCTTTGCAACAAGAACATGATTGGATTTCTTGGTTTTTCCAGCATCTACAATCCCCCAAAAGTGAAACAAGTCAGTTTAACAATATTTGCTGTAACTGATACTAATCCTTCAAATTAATTTATTTCTGGAAACTGCAGCAAAACCAAATGTTGTACATTCCCTTTAATTCTATTTCCAGGGATGAGCAATTTTTAGGAATGAGCAATTTTATATGCTAACGCTGCACCTATACAGTTGGCGAATCGCCAAATTAATGCGTTCTACTTTTTTTCTGACAGTACTTTACCACGCGTGACACATCTGGCACATGGCCAGTCACAGATGTCTCTTCCCTCAACCAGCTGATGTAATCATCACATGCTCTTTCACAAACGTCAAGACGGGAGCGTTCAAGTGATTTGGAACACGCCAGGCAACGCTAGATAACATCTGATCTGGTGTTTCAACCTATGCTTTTTGCCTGAAGCGTAACGTTATTATAAGCTTATCCAATGATAAAGATATCCTAAAATAAATAGCCCCTGAATAAAATTTAAAAAATTGGTTTATTTGGCATGCAATGCCAATCCGAAATACTACTTCCAAACAATTCTTACGATTCGTCGATAATTCACAGCACACTGAACAGCGCCATCATACAGAGGTCTCACAACAGTACCCTCAATAAATGAGGTGATCTTCACAACTTACAAACTGAGGACCTTTTGTTTTGACTCCAAAAATAAAATTCACTTCAAACTGATTGGCAACAATAACTGCGCCAATGCCGTCGCATACTAAACTCAGGTACCGCAAGAGGGCGTATTTTGTCTTGTTGTAAAACCACGACAAGATAGCCCCTTTAAGATTAATTTGATTACTAATCATCAACAAAACAAACAACACTTTGACCAGCGACATGTTTGTTGGAGCGGTGTCAAATTATCGTCGTTTGTGAGAAGGCACTGATAATTCTTACTGTTATTAAACAAACGTTATTTTGCAATGAAGCAGAAAATGATAACGCACAAAAAAACTTGCAGTATATTATGCACTTTCACGATTGCTCATCATCCGTTTAAGATGTGAAAATACTTGTCCGTTTTAATTACGTCATGCCCTTAAAAATGAAGTCCTTCCAAGGGAAAAACAAAACAGTCTGCAAATAAAAGATTCGTGGTTTGTGGCATAAAAACATAAGACTTATCATGCGCATGGACTTCTCAGAAACACGGGGAGACAAATTTAAAAAATAATTATCCACAATCAAAGCTAATTGTTCAAAATGCCAAGCACCTATATTATTACGGAAATCGGGTTTATTTTTTTTTGCGATTCAGTTTCAAAACAACCCGCCTACAAAAACAGCCGGTCAGTGCCGGAAGCTGGGCTGTCGATGATTAATAGCGCCCTCTCTTGGCAATAGTTATGTCTTGCAATCTGCGCTTGCTCGAAAGCGCCACTCTCACAGAGTGCACTAATTTTTACAAGTCTCAATTAAAAGGTGAAAAAATGTCTTGGCATGCAATCAAATGTATCATGAAAAGACAAAAATATCATGGAAGATGTTGCCAAGAGTAGCAGGGTCGAAAGCGTTCGTCATCATTCATGTAACAATTATAAATACCCCCATCCAGCCCAAAATATGCTACCTGACATAACATGGGGATTAGCTCATTTCCTTAGACGGGATCCCAAGTTTCCTCCGCCACTCCATGACTGTCTTAAAGTGTTCCATCCCGACGGCAAATCCCCCTCATCCTGCTGAGGATTCTTGGGAGGAAATCTCCCCCTGAGATTCTTGGCGTTGTAAGACGATTACCACACTCGCTGAGGGTGTCATTGATGATAACATGGCTCTTCACCAGCACGGGACTTCAAAAACATTATAACGGAACCACATGCATTTGGATCATAGGGACTTTTTTAAGCATTCTATCAATAGCCATTCAGTTTTACTTGATAGTAATTGCTAGCCTGGCTCTCTGAGAAAAAATAATGCCGCGTTCCTTTTTTAAGTATAACTATTAACTGTGGTTCAATTGTTAATAAACCCACAAGGAGTTGCGGTTCTGGATAAAAAAAATTCAATCTTTGTAAAGCAAACGAAGAAAACCAATGATTTTTGGGGTGGAGACTAGTAACGGATTAATGGGGGGTGGGGGCGTCTACCCCCCCCCCCCCTCTGCTTGGCCCTTAAAAATGGGGAAATCATGCCGTAAAAAGAAGCACAAACCTGCTACCCCCCCCCCCTCCCACAAAAAGATGGATCCGCCCTGGTGCAGAATAATATACCGTAACCGCTTTTCCAAATATAGCTCCACCCTTCCCCAATCGGAAAACGAACTTGCCGCACCCGACGCCTCGCGTATAAAAGTGCACACCACAATCGCTCGTCAAGTAATTCAGTTATAAATATTTTGTTGAGAAGAACGATTAAATTCAATTCACCGGCAGGGAAGTCTGATCGGATGAGGATTATTACCGGACCATGTGAACAAAATAATTTAGGCAGTCACAAAGTCGCCGCGTGGTAAACGATCATCGTGATGGTTCAGATGTTTGACAGACGGACACAGCCCTGTGACTGACGTACCGACGCCTACTGTGGTATGGTGTCCATTTATATATCCATCATGGTTATTTTTTTTACAGGTGACTTGAGATTGAGACAGGTGTATGCCAGAACAGGTGGATTCAAGGTGGTGGCTGATCCTGGGAACTTAGAGAGGAGGTAGCGTTTGCCCGGCCCCGCCCAAGTCCCTAACTTCAATAGACCACCTGAAAACATATACATTTCTCTAACACCCCCCCCCCCCCCCCTTAACAACAACAATCTCTCGGGGATCACTGGTTGACAGTTCCCAAGAACAGTACAGAGAAACTCAGGTTTCAGAATGAGGTCTAAGCGGTTCATAATTGTACCTAATTATTACACAATTATACTCATTTCCTTCATGTTCTCCATGGCCGGGCAGTCTTACCCCAGCCCTCTTTCCTTAGCCGTCTTGTCAAAATCAACCTGTACGTCTGTCAAACACCTGACCTTCGTTCCTGGCGAGCGCCCCCCCCCCCCCCAACTCTCCCCTATTTCCAGCCTGGCCTCGTGATTGCAGACACAGACCGATTGAGCATCAGCAGCGGACGGTGAGGTCATATCCAATGGATGAGTCAGACCACCGACCGGACCAGACGCAAACAAGTATGACAAGCTAGCTGCGAGTAAATGACGGGGACTTCCCCCACAGCCTGCGGCAGGCTTGTGCTAGGCTGTAAAGTGTAGGACGTGCTGTACAATTACAAGTTGTCGATAGAGAGCTTGTACGGAACGCCCTCACTGTAAACAGGCCTTTTAATGTAAATTTAGTGATAATGACAGTACAATGACTTAATCAACCTGTACATATCGGAAGAACAGCGACCTGTCCACAACAAGGGAACTATTTATACATTTCTGGTAAATGAAACCATTAGGATTCCTGAAAAGTGCCCTGGGCACTGTAGCTCGGAAGCCTGAAGAACCTTGCAGAGAAGACAATGAGAAGAAATAACAGCTTTAGAGGTGAAAGGAAATCCCACAAGAATATTCTGGGTAAAACCCAAGGAATCAGGTAGGGACTGAAAACCCTATCCACATGTGGTCCGGGCAGGAATCGAACCAGGGCCATATCGGTGGAAGGTGCTCAAAGTAACCACTGCATTACCCGACTCCAAAAAGGGCCCTTTGTGCGAGCTCTTTAACTCTGAAAATTCTGAAGTTCTGAAATAGGCTGGCTCATGGACTGAAGTTGTATCTTGACTTAATCACTGATTAATTATCAGCTGAAATGCGATCACAAATAGTTCGTGGACCAACATCAAAACAAGACACGTAGCATTCCCAAGACAATATTGTAGAGGAACTTCTGGTGGCCACACAAGTTCCACAAGGCCAACAAACAGGATGTGGGGGTAGGGCGGGGGATCAGTAGGTATTATTACCCCCTTCCTATCATATCAAACAGCGATAATAAGGGTATAAAGGTATGGGACTGGGGGAATGTTTGTAGGTATCTAAAATTAATTGCAGCTTCTTCAAAGCAACTCCTTTCGGACATTCAGCTTGATGTGATTTTCAAAACTAAAGAACAGATGTGCGCTCACTGCTTTTTACATCCAGTCATAGAAATAATTCTCCAGGCTTACTTGGGTAGGATTCGAACCTTCCCCTAACTCACAGGAACTCAACATGCACACAAGGGTAAAACATATGGTCACCACGATACAGCTTTGCTGGTTTTGGACTTGATATAATTGAAATAGGAGCATTGTGGGCTTTGTGAGAGGGGGGGGGGAGTGCCTTGGGGAAATTTAACTTTGAGGGAATTTGGTGTCAGCCATAATTTGAAAAAATGATTGATAATTGAGCAATAATCACTGATGATAAAGCCTCGGGGATTTTAAAGACATGCCTCAACACCAAACTCGCCTTCTGTGAATGGCTATGACTTACTGAAGACACACGCATCAAAATATAAATGAACACAGAATCAAGAACAGACAGTAGGGATTATAAAATATTGAATATGGCATACCTAACTCCCCCTTCTGATTTGGCTAGGCCACACCCCTTGTGTCATCCAACAGTTGCCCCCTTCCTGAAGGATGGTACCTTCACAGGTGAACTCAACCGACACACAAACATGCATTACTGAAGCTCCCGTGACACTGAGGCGGCAGCTGACCACATCTTGTTGTGAAGCTTTCTGCGGGGGAAGTGGATTAGTGTAGGGGTCTTAAGTTGGCTTGGAGGCTGGATAGGAACGCAAGGTTCTGGTGAGGGGGAAAGGGGGATACGGGGTATAAGCACGGCACAAACAACAGGGGTCGGGTTGTTGGATTGACGTCAATGCAGAACCACAAAAGCCTGGAGTTTCTGAGGGAGTAAGGTAGGGGTTATCTGGAGGTCATGGTGTACAATGTGGAGGGTGTGGTGGAGGCAGGTGGGGCAGGTGGGGGTGGGATAGAGGAGGCAGGGTTAAGTGAGTCAGTCACACACATCCAATCTGAAGATCTGAAGATCATAGCTGCTGAAGTAGTTGTCAACAGAAATTAAAATAACGTCACTGCCATGTGTCTGGGTTGCACTTTTTTCTTGGCTCAGTGCCTTAAAGTGATGTCGTTGGTTTCTTAGACTGTTTGGCATATTTGATTTCAGTGAAAGGTGTTTACAAATTCTTGGCTCCATCTTCAGCTTCAGCTTCATGATTTAAGTGTCCCCCCCCCCCCCAACTTGACAGACTCCATTACAATATTGCTCCATTTTCTGTTATAGAGACATCAAATTCAAACACATAAGGTCCATAGTTGATGTATTTTAATGGGTTCAGACATAGCGGGATTCTTGGATTCTTGAGCTGGACACAAAGACAACACAGATGAATTTGAAGTTTGTTTGAAACCCCCAAGACGTCTCTGAATCCAAAATAAAGTGTCCTTTGGGGAAGGAGTATATTTATCTTGCAATCAAGTTTTATAAAGATGAGTTTTATAAAGATGATTTTTACAGCTACATGTATTTGAATATCATGTAGGACTCTCTTCTTGAGGTCTTTTCATGAGGGAGGTTCAGGGGAGCTAGTTGCCACCCCTGTATCCTAATCTAGACATGCTTCTGCACCTGTGTGGCTGTAGGACACCATTGTTCCCCCTTGTTCAAGCCACTGATGAGAGATCTATGCCCTCAACGAGTGAGATCATCAGAGGTAACAAACAACTTTGACATCCTTCAGTGTGACATCAATGTGCAGACCGCTGTCCTCCACAAAACAATGACTCACAGACCGGGCTAATTGAGTCTAAGCATTCGCTACTGCCGACAACCAAAACAGCCACTCAGAGGATCATGTGCACAGGATCAGGAAGACAAGTTGACCCACTATCTAGCATCACTTGGACAACAGAGGGGGCTATATCACTTAGCTGATGTATACACGTCTAAATCCTTGTCGCGTATCAGAAGTCCAATATTATGTAGTTGTTTGAGATGATCAGTAAGTTTTGTGGAAACACTCACACAACCCTGACAGGGTCAATCAAAGCAACTATAAATGAATACATACGAGTTTGGACGTAATTTCAGAAACATTTTTCAGTTTAATTATGCAATAACTTTTTTACAGAAAAAGATTCATTTAATTTCAGAACTTCAAATCAATAGTGTAAAACCAATGTTGAACACAGACATGATTCATGTTGCAGTTCAGGAACTGAAACCATTTTATTGGATCAAAACAAAGCCGTACGGGCAACAAATGTCTCAAGCTCTGACAATATTTCAAATTGAAGTTCAGGTACCCCACAGCAGCGTTGCAGTACTCGTACTCGTACTCATCATCTGTGGTCACACTTCAATTCAAGTACTTTTTTTGTGCTCATACTCATCAAAATGAACTCTTACTTGCAAGTACTTGCACTAATACTCAAGGCAAAGTACTCGTACTTATACGCAGGCTCTCATTGACAAGTACTCCAACCACAACAATGATGCACAGTATTTCAGCTCAAGGAACACACACTAGTTGATGTAAGCACACATGTGACTTGCACAGTTGTGCATGGGGCACGGGGCGTAGACAGAACACCTAGACTGGCCGTCAGTCCAACACTGCAGTCTTTCAAAGAGATACCACCGTTTGTTTTTGGTCCGTTAGTTTTTTCAACATCCGAAAACAATCATCTGCAACCACTACGGCGGTAACTTTGGGTCGACAGTTCAAGGTAGGCTTGCTGACAGAGACGTAGACAATGTTGGTTTGGTACTTTTTCACATCGACAAAATTTGCAACTATCTCGGCTAAATAAATGCGGTACGCACACAAGCTGGCAGCAATCATTTCAGTATAACAGCACTTCTGTGAGTGTCTTTTCTGTCTTTGTGCCTCATTGGTTTTCCTGCTTGGATCGTTTCTTTATTCTCTTAGTTCTTTCGTATCGTATCGTGTCACTTTCCAGGGCGGCTAGCTCCGACAGTCTCTGCTGGAAGGATGGGGAGGCACTGGGAACTGGGTCCACGAAGAGGTAACGGGTATCTGCAGAAAAGACAAAAGGGAAAAATGAAAATAAAAATGTTATTTTAGGCAACAAAAAAAAAATATTCGGTCTCTGGTCAGACCAAAGTTCCGGAATTGACGCAGCCACTTTTTTTTTTTTTCGCTTTTTTTTCTTTTCTTCAAGCTTGGATTGTACAGACAAGGTGGGGTACTATTTTGCTTTTTTGGTGTCCTCATGTACATTGGTGTCCTCCATAATTAGCCTTGGTGCTTTCGATCATTTGCCTTGGTGCAATTTCCCATTCCTTGGTGCTCTTTGGTAAAAAAAATTGAGGAGGTGCGGAAATAGAGGGCGCTGTTGGAGCTACCACGGAACATTTCGGAAAAAAAAAGATCGACGCGCATGATTAAAATCGACGCGCGCGCTGACCAGAGACCGACTTATTTTTTTTTTGGCCTTAGAAATAACTTTCTTTCAGAACCCTTGCATGGTAAGTAGGCATTCTTTGGATTAAGACACTGTGGAATTCAATAGACTCCTTGCATCTGACACCACATCTGATAACAGGTCTTTGTTACTCTGGGGTACGCAGAACAAGACATTTTGCACTTTTGTAAGTGCGGGGGGGGGGGGGGGGGGGGGGACTTGCCCCCATCTACCAACGATTGACGCCCATATTGATGCCCCTGGGTGGGTTTATTTACTGAAGCAGCCAGGAGGAAAATGGAAAATGGGAAAGTACGTGTGTAAAGTCTGACAACTCCCAAATGCTTGTAAAGTGTTCTCAACATATTTGTGCTTAGCACATTAACTCGTTTAGCACATACATTTGCTAAGCAATATTTTTGGGTTATCCGCTCGGCAAACTTGGGCTGTTTTCTTAGAAAAAAAAAGACTCACTTTTCATTTTGTCGTTGAGGGTCATGGGCATGACCATCCCTCCCCGAGTCCTGCTCCGCTGCGTGGGCGACCTAACGCCGACATCCCGACTGCCGAACCCGATGCTGTGTCCCCTGAGGGCAGCAGAGGACGGCGTAGATGCGACAGTTAGACTCCCCATGCTGGATAGAGCATCTCTGTTGGACGCGGTGCGGAAGGACCCGCTGCTCGCCGTGCTCGGTTCTGCTGCTGCCCCCGTGCTGCGAGTTGTCGTGGGGCTCTTGGGGTTGGTGGACAGACGGAAACCGTTCCGTCGAGAGTCCATGGCCTGCGGGCTGGGTTCCTCTGGCAAGACTTTGAAGAATGGGAAAGGAATGGTTTTCAGAAAGATGGAGTTGTGTTGGAGACTTTAACTGGCAATGAGACGGTGTGAAGCACGCAGACATGGTGAAGTGATGTTACGTTATTTTACATGAAGTCACATTTGAAACCTCGGTGAAATCAGCTAAACTGTGCAGCGGAAATATTAAAACAAATTTGCAAACTTTTGTGGGGATCAGTCACACCACAAATTTGACTGATCATTATAAGGGAATGGTCATAACAGCCATGAAGTCCTTACAAAGATCCAAAAAGGTGGACACAATGTTCCAAAAAAATATGATATGATTGTTCAAAGAAGAATTCTGATTGATGATTCCAGCATGATCATTATGGGACCACATTCACGAGTATAATTATGAGCATCAATAATGTATGTACCGGTAAAATCTCATTTCAAACAAAATTGCTCAATGCAAGGGCTGATGCCTAACAGCATCGTGTTCACCATCCCCTTCCTGGGGGGGGGGGGGGAGGGGGGAGAAGAAACTCCGAGGCGCAGGGCCGCAGGGGGCTCCAACCCACTTGCCTCCCCCCGCCCCACAGAATCACGCCTCGCTGTGAACTTTGCTCCACCTGCTCAAAGCCATCTCTACCCAAACTTACCAAGAAAAGGAATCCAAGAAAAAAATGAAAAATAATCTACAGAAAAAAAATATGGTGCAAATAAACACAGCAAAATGACAATTAACCACACCACACCAATCCAAAAGCAAACTCCTTTCAATCAGATGGTAGGGAGTGTCTGATTTGTATACCTTGTAGTAAGGGACTAGTTCTGATTGGACTTAGATAGCGTGGTGATGGGTGTGTGGAGGTGGCAGGTGGGACGTGTACGTGTAGGCCCAGGGTGCGGAACGATAGACCTGTCCAGGAAAATAGACCTGAAATTGTCAGTGAGTTCATTGCAGGATCTGCCATAACAAAATCCACTATTTAAAGCCGGAGTCCATCATTTGCAGCTATCCAAAAAAGTAACTGGCGTAATTATTGTTGAAACACATACTGGTTGAAAGATAGTAAGGGGACTAAACTCCCTGTGAAATTATTCTTTCTGGCAAGCTCTCATTTTGAAGAAATCAACGAAAGAAGGCTTTTCCAACGGTGCGTCTCAAGAAGCACCGTAGGAAAATTTAAATTAGTAGTTCGTTTTGTTATTCAGCGCAGCATTGGCACGACGTACAGGCGCGCTCGGTTGCTATGATCCATCGGATCAGTGCGCGACATCGCGTAAAGCTGCAATTCAAAACAATTCAAAACATGATTCAGCAACTTTTGATTTGAAATTGAGATCCTAGAATGCTGTTTTTCTCGGAATATACAGCTGAAGCTCAGCTGAAACTTCATCAGGTTAGTTGTTTAGTATCCTTCATTAGATTTTGAACACTTTTGTTGCTTCAAACGAACAAAATGCACAAATTACAAATGATGGACTATGTCTTTAACCCACTAGTACCGGTACCTGTACCGCAGCAAACTGCCTTGCCTGTTACTCTCTAGGTACGGTACCGCCGCAAACTGCCCTGCCTAATACTCTCTGTACGGTACCTCCGCAAACTGCCGTGCCTGTTACTCTCTGTACCACTCCAAACTGCCTTGCCTGTTACTCCCTGTACTGCTCAAAAATGCCCGAGCATTCAATGGTTTTATGGATTCAGCAGGTACTAAATACAATGTAATACAATGTAATACAATGTAATACAATGTAATACAATGTCATACAATGTAATACAATATGGGTTGATGAAAACTTTTTAAAAGTTTATCAATATCAGACAGTACAGCAGGTGGTTTGAAAAAATTGAGCAAATGAAGAACGTCTCCTAATGAATGCGAGGCAACATCGGCGTTCAACCTCGCAACAGAAACAAAAATACAGCATTGATACGCGATTTACGCCAAGGCTAAATATAGAAGTGGAGTCATCTACGTCTCAAAAGCATACGAAAAAGCATTGTTCATTTGTTGAGTTATGCATAATTGGGTGTCATTACTGTGACTACTGTAAAACCAAATTCATAATGGTTATATATTTCTAAATCTTAATTTGCCAACCATCAGACATCAGTTTCTATTGCCAATAATAATAACCTTTATAACGCGCCTTTTGCAAAAGGTTTCAATGCGAAATGAGACCTTTTTTTAACACACTTCTCACGGAAATGAGTCTTTACAGGTTGCTGACGACAGGTGTTGTGTCTAATTAAATTATTGTCATTTTTACATTGACAAAGTCCGTCAACATTCTGTACATTTACAAGAGAGGTGGGTTGGGGCGTAGGTATGATTTTCTAGAAGTCACACGTTTGATACAGCTGCAGTCATTCAGTCAATTTTCCCTATTTTATAGTAAATCACAGAAAAATCCAAAATAGAAAAAAAATAGAGGAACAAAAAGTGATGTGCTGCATACATGCATCATGCAAGCCAGGAAAAGTTTGGATGTAAAGGGGTAGATACTGTTTCACCATTTCACACTGGGGTGAGGGGTGGGGTTGAGAGGAAAACGGGGGGAGGGGGATAGGGGAGGGGGAGTGGAGGGAGAAGGAGCTAGGTAAATTGTTAAAATAAAATAAGATTCATCAGATACAACATGCTGTTCATGACAATGGCCCGGACAGGCTTATAGAAAATCAAAAGGGAAGATTCAAAACACCAGGTCTCCAGACCGCCCAGGATTTGACTTAATTTCTATTTCATATTCCAGATATTCATCCCTACCTTTGGATTCCAGTCGACTGCTCGACCCCTCGCCATGCGTTCTCTTCTCTCGTTCTCTCTCCAACCTTCTCTCCAAGGCTCGGTAGCTCTCCGTTGACTGAGTCTTACTGCTTGCCTCGGCAGGCTGTTGGCACGAGCTGTAACTGCCGCTGGCGTTCAGGTCTTGTCCCGCGTAGGGTGAGTTGGAGGAACTGAAAATGGCAAAACCAAAGAGAATTTCAAAGAATCATGAAAGTCTCAATTCAATTTTGGGATTTGCCCTTCAACACATTTTTGCATTTCGAAGCTCGGTCTTGTCCCGCGTACGGCGAGTTGGAGGAACTGAAAAATGACAAAACCAAAGAGAATTTCAAAGAATCATGAAAGTTTCAATTCAGTATTGGGATTTGTCCTTCTACACATTTTTGCTCTTAGAAGCTGAACAGAATTGATCACGACTCTGTCGCCACCACCTTGATGGAGGTCAGTTCCACTAAAACACACGAATGTGTTGCTGATCGACTGGACTACTGAATATTCACAGCTGAGTTGGGAAACAAAATTTTATTTTCCTGAAACTTAATCCATTGACTGTAAACAGTGTTGAACTGGACCAATCTTTTTTCTTTTTTTTAAATGTGAAAGTGGAACGTGGTGAAAGAATCTTGGAAAAAAAGAGTGTCTGATCCGACTCAAACTTCCAGTGACAGGGATCACACTCGTTATTTCATAATTCCCTCTCAGTAAATACCACATCACACATTTTTGATGAATGTCTTATTTTGAAAGCTAGACTTTCTCGAGTGTTTATTTTATGTCCCACGGGGTCAGTGGAATGGCATAACGGGGTAATAATTAATAACAATTATTCAATTATTTCATTAGTTGATACCTGCCGCACGATACCAAGCTACTGGCAGATTAATGGATTCCCTTAGAAACATTCCGTCATCGCTTGGCTTAACATCTGGGTTATTCCCACAGGTAAATTCAACGCCGTGACACTTGACCCATCGGAGAATGAAGTAAACACACTGAATTAAACCGGTCTCCCTTGACAATATTTGCTACATATACATGTAACCGTCCTGCATCTCTCACTACTGCTTTCACATTACTTGTCCCTCAACTTCAAAGGGGCACTGATCAAATTGTGAGCAAAGTAACAGAACAGTCTGGGCCCTACTTCCTAATAATCCTACAGAATCAGACACAGATCTTCTGTCGTTTTTTTTTATAAGGATTTGGGATGATTCTAGTTACAGATGCAAAATGAAAAAATAAAAAAAATGAAAAGATAAGACACATTCATGCATTTTAGCCTACCTGGATTTCTTCATTGTGAAATTAGGTGAAGTTACGAAGCTGGCATATTGCAGAATAAAATACTGCTCGTTATAAATCTTTCATGTGGGCAAAGCAAGTCATATGCCTTCAAGAAGTCGAGCATTTTTGTTGTTGCATAGACTCTGCAACTAATACAGAAGCCCCATCAACTTGCGACTGACAGAAAATGGCGGCTTAGGTACGACACGGAATGTGAGTCTCCACGGCTTCCAATCCCACAATGCCCTGCTGTTTACTCAGACACTGTATAGGGGGCATCCTGTCCAATGTTTGTTGGGCTAATATTTACCATGTTCCAATCCTTTAGATGTGTCAACAAACCTCCGTGTGATTTCAGTACTGACTATTGATAAGTGAGTGCTTATCTCAACACAAACCTATGATAATGGTTATTTAACATCACCATGGGAACAAAGTGCATGCTGCATACTTTACAGGATTATGACTGTTAATATATATTCACACAGTTGAAGTTGAAACTTTACCATTCATTTGTCAGATCTCTCCTTATTAAAGTTTTATTTTTACCATGCCAACAAAAATTCTAAATATGTACACGGTCAAATATAAAAAAAAAATAATAATAATAAATTAAAACAAATTGAGACCTATGTACCTTGGGCATCATAAAAATCATCATCAATTTCGTCGACAACATTAAAAACAATCCTGACACTAATTTTGTTGGCAACATGCATGTCAAATTTCTATACTTTTGTCATGAAAGAATAACATTTTTTTGAGTGCTATCAATTATTTTCCAAAAGTTCCTTAAAAATTGCAATACAAGAAACGTTCTGCATGTTTGTGAAAGAAATTTGTGATCCCATGTAGGGAATTCACAGATGCGTCATTTCATAATTTAAGGGTCCACTATTTTTTTCCTGTCCCTGATACGTCTTAACATCTATGATTTTATAATTACGATGCACTCTGCAACACAAACTACCTACCCAACGAATAAAATAAAAATCGTTTGAAGTCATATTCTCAATGATACTTGAATGACAAAATACAAAGTTTAGAGGTAACAGGGACGGGAAAAAGTGTCACACTTTGGACCCCGTATTTATAGAATGACCTTGCTGTGCTTTCTTCAGAAATCAGAGCCACCCTACAATCAAACAAAAAAACTCAAAAAAACTTGAGAATTTCCGACACATTTCCAACGTCAATTAAGCATTTTATAAACTGTAACGCTGAAGAATTTCAGAAACGTACATGTACGTCTCATTTTGCTGGATCAAGTTAAACATGTGCTCCAAATTTCAAAGAAATATTTCAGCGATAACAATTAAGGGTTCCAATTTGACCATAAGCCTACCTCTTCTTATGTTTCTGTCGGTCTCGGTGTAACGATTCCTTGTACTGACTGTCGATGGCTTCTAGACACCACTGTTGCTTGATCATGGGCAACTTAAGAGTCATACTGACGAAGCAATCATCGCTCCACAAAATATCATCACCGTCGCAAAGATTTCAGTCATCATGGATGTATTCCTCTCGTGTCGAAAACAATTTTTTTTTCTATACAGGCAGCAAGTTCCAGTGTTGTTTATTCTGTTATCACAGTGGGGTGATTTGCTGTTCATAATTTAACATTTCAAGTTTTCTGAGACGCAAGAAGTAGCTAGCATCTTGTAAAATCACAGAAGAATCCATCTAAATTCTTGCTCCATGGTACAAAACATCCCAATAAGCAAATAATGCATACTTTCTGCAGCTCGTAGAGTTTACAACATCTGCCCGTGCTCAGTTGGTAGAACACCAGAACGGCAATCCGGAGGTCGCAGATTCAAATCCTGCTCCAGTCAAATTTCTTTGCTCAACTTTAAAATCATCTACGAAAGACGCAGCTTCAGAAGAAACCATTGCACCTTATACATCATTTAACATTTATATGGAGAAATTCCAGTAACATACATGATGAACATCATAGAGCAAGGTACATAATGTGACCATCTGCATTGTAACGTAGCTCCAGAGGAAACCAACTGTCACATTTAGGAATTAATGTAGCAACATCTCACTGCTCGATACACTGCCACAGCCAGGAACAGCATGAGAGCTCCCTGCACTGACACTGCACAAAATCAATACCTGTGTCTCGAGTGCTTTCACCAGTCGCATACCGTGTCTGACAGGCACATGCTCTCACCATGGTGAAAAACAATACAACGGTGAACAACCGAGCCTTTCAAACCGACTCTGGATTACAAGTCCTCCAACAATGAAAACGCCGTCCGCAATTCACCAGCGATTTACGGCACCCATTCCGTTCCAGTTTAAGCAATGTCTAACTGCTTACATGGCAGTAATGTACGTCTCACTATATGAATGTCGTACTAGTTTGTCCTTTATAATACAATGCACAAGTGAATAATGCTGGGTGTTTGTTACTCCCGACCCCAAGGGTATCCATTTTCTGTGGCCTGACCAGAGTGTGACACTTCACTGCACTCTGAGTTCCTTGTCTGTCAATTATTCAATGCATGGGGGAGGGGGTGGTTAACACAGAATGCTCCTCTGCTCATTTTACTAACAAAAAAAACCTAAGGTACATACCGTAAAAAAGCTGCCGTATCATTTCTATGGCTTTTCTAGTAGGGTGCAGAATTTCCTTGAACAAATAATATTTCGGTTGTGTTTGCCCGGAATTAAGCACAATAACACTGTGCACTCTGAACTAGTCGTTAATTTTGCAATTACCCATTAGTCCATTTATGGGCTGGCTTGCTTGGTTGGTGATGCGACGATCTGATTGATGTATAGCAGGGTTCTGAACGAGGTCTCAGTATGAAAGGCTATACATGTAATAAGGACAGCTATGAATCATTGAAGGACAGGGTTTTTTTTTTCAAAAGCTCAACTAATTCCAATTCTGGTCCAACAGAGATATATAATCTGTCATTAACAGGGGTGTGAATGACCACTGATAAAAATAGCTGAAAACATCTGAAATAAAAAAAGCTGAATCCAAAACCAAAAAATAGCTGAAATCAGCTTTAAAGCTGAGATTTCACACCCCTGCATTAATCATCTCCATCAGATGAAAAGTAGTTGCAGCTATGAAATCTTATAATGCAAACTTTTTTTCTAGCCATTTGGTTATTTTAAGCGCAACATTTTGTGCCTTAGTTTTCCATGTCATAAAGCTGATGCAAACCAAAACACTACATGCATAGGCCCCTAGCTACTCATCTGTTGCTTCAGTTCATACACCCAACATGAAACATGCATGCCATGCCCTCTCAGTCTCAAAAGATTTAAAAGTGCAGGAAAAATACAAAGGCTAACACTTTTGACAAAAACAACTCCTTCTGAAAGCCCAGCTACATGTATGTCTGGTCACAAGCTGTGTACAGGTGCATAGGTGTTGGCTTATATTCACTATGAATAAAGGGACCAGTCTATAATCCCATGACAAGCCAGTGAAAAGTAATGCATTGTATGTGAACATGTACAGCACACATGTACAGCACACATGTACATGCTCTGGTCATGTGGTTTACACAAGGGCTCTCATGAATATGCATGATGTACAGAGCAAGGGCGGATCCAGAACACAATTTTTGGGGGGGCCAAAACAATTTTTGGTCCCCCCAAAAAGTGGGTCAAAAAAATTACGGCGTGGGGTTCGGGGCCCGCTTAAGGGCCCCGAAATTTTTTGGATTCTAGATGCTCTGTGGTGCGATCTGAGGCAATTTCTGACCACTTTAACCAATGTTTTTTTGAGGAAAAGATGGTGGTGTACTCATTGCCTGCCTTTATTGCGATGTCACATAAAAAAAAATATAAAAAAATTGGTTTCATTTTGGGGGGGGGGGGGGGGGGGCCATGGCCCCCTTTGGCCCCCCCCCCCCTGGATCCGCCCTTGGTACAGAGGGGTTATGAATATGCATGAAAAAGTTCTGTGGCATTATTCAATCCATCCTACTGAGTGTGAAACAGCGACTGTCTGTAAAAAATTAACTGCATAAAAGACAGTTTGCATTAATATTTACAAAAAAAATTTAAGATGTAGCCTACTCAGAAATTATCATTTTTTTCCGTATCATGTCCCTTTTTTTATTATTTAACAAAACATATTGATAACACAACTTTGGACATATGAAGATAACTACTGTGAAATGAAGGATGAACAATATTACAGAATATAACATTCAACAAAAAAGGTTGCAACAGAAGCAGTTTAAACCACAATTTAAAAACAAAATTGTTCCTTTGATGTTTACAGAAAAAAAGCAGCTTGAGTGCAGCAAATACGATTCTCGCGTATCAGCACATTAGGTTTTTTTATGAACAAAATAAACTAAATGAGATGTCAGACTGTGAATTATTTTTGTTCAATAAAAAAACTGTTGTCAAAGAGAATGCTTACCATTTTAATGCCTGTTATTTATAATTAGTCATGAGTAAAATGGTCTTTTTGTAATTTTGTTTATTGTAATTTTGCATTAAATCTAAAAAAAAAAAAAAGGTAAAACCCTTTGCCATCTAAATCCCCACATTTTCTGGAAATAGTATCAATTTCTGAGCATCATGATTTGATATGCACCCCCCAAAAAATGGGCTCCAAATATTGAGAGAGGACTGAAATGATGATAATGCAAAACAAGGTTGATAACAGTTCTTGAAGGAAGTTTCAATGCACTTGTACATCATTCAGTAGTGTAAATGATAAAAGGTCAATGCAATAGATATAAGCTCTGCACACTTGGGTAATAATTATGTGCCTGTCCAATGCCAAACTACAAGTTCTAACTGGATGCGTCATTGTGCATTCATGTCCAACGATTGTCCACGCATGTTGGACATAATGGTTGTGATTGGTAAAAAAAATCACAGGTCGGGGCTCAGTGGATCAGTCTATTGCGGCAAGCTAGGCTCGGTGTAAAGATGCTACAGCACGTTCTCATACTGCAACTGCAGTAGATCCCGCTGCAGCTGTGAGTTCTGCCAAATCATCTTGTATGCCTCCTCTTTAGCAGTCTCCGCCCTCCTCTGGGTCTGCAGCACCAGCATCTTAGCCTTGTGTTCGGCCTGGGCAAGCTGGAACATGGCTTCTTCATAGGCAGACATTCCCTCCATGCAGTCTTCCTTAGGGTCCTGGTGCCTGTTGGACACTGATGCCGGCTCACGGCTGAAGATGCTGCTGGTGTTGCCCCAGGGACTGCGACGGTTGAAGACGCTGCTGTACCTGGACTGCCTTGGTGGGATGCCGTTGCTGCTTCGTCGCAGCTCCGATGCAGGCAAGACGCGACGCCGCTTGGCAACCGGATCCCACAGGTGGCTGCGCTTTTGACCACGGCGAGGATCGGTGAAGGTGCTGGGTGCAGTTGGAGGGCTCCAGCGTTGCCGGCTAGCTGTCTTGACGCAGCTGCGTTCTGGGCGTGGCTTAGGCGTGACCTCCACCACCTCGCTGGGTGTCTCGGCGGCTGCTTTGATGACCACGGGAGGGATGTAGTCAAAGTCTGGCTCCTCCTTGACCCTGACGTCGGGACTGTCTTCAGCTTCCTCATCTATGTCTTCACCATCCTCCACCTCAGGGTCCAAAGGAGGTTCAACAACTATGTCATTATCGTGATCCTCGTCAACGCCGTCATCTTCATCAGTCTTCGGGAAAGAATCACTCAGATCCCTGTTGAAAAAAAATTACAAAATAAGAGAAAATCATTAAAAAATTTTGTCAAAGAACATTAATTGCTAAGCGGGGAAACTTCAGATACAGATAACCAGCCGAGATGGATGCAATATGCATTGCTTGTAGCTGGTCTCCAGCTGCTGTTTTGCTTATCGAGATAAAACCTGCTAAGCCTGACCTTTCTTTGATGGCCTCGGCTAGGAGTTTTTCCTGTTCTTCATCCTCGGGGTTCAGTTCTTCTTTGTACGGTTTGATCAGGTCGTAAACCCAGAGGCTGGTATCGTCGGGCTGGACTGCCTGGGAGCTAGGCAGGGGTTTACCGGTGCCGGACTCGGCACAAGCCTTCAGCCACAGACCCACTTCCTTCTTGGCTTTCAGCTTGAGGCGACGATACAGATCCTTGATGAAAGGGGAAAATGTCAAATTGTAAGATTTGGAAAAAGTTGCTATTTTTTAAAGCTTATAAATTATTTATGATTACTTATGATATATTTCTTGTTACTTTTGGAAATAATTGCGTTCCAAAATACAATTGTCAAAAATATGATAAGAAAATGTAAAGTTACATCATAAATCAATATTACTCATAAATCAAAACGGAAAACACTGCATTCAAACTTTTCTCTAAGGGAATCACTATGGACCTAGTACATAGACCACTTCACATATTCCACCATCTTGGTGGTCACAACAAAATGGGGGGGGGGGGGGGGAGGGGGGGGAAGGGGGCATAATAGAATCACATCCCATCATGCTCGAGATACCATAAACATATTTTTATTGTAATGCCTCATGAGATTACTACGTTACCAAAAAAATGGTGGAATTTGTGAAATTTTCTATGATGTACACTTGTACAAACACACAACCTAAAATTTGGCATTCGTGGTGTGCTTGCATTGTTGGGTAAGACAGAAATGTAGGGTACCACTGTTCCCTTTTTGTGAGTACCCCACGAGTATTTTAATTCACATCAACTCCCAACCCTGTTTGGTTTTTATGTTGAATAATTCACTCTTTGGAAATTAAACTTCCTTAAAATCCCCCTTATTCGCCAATTTCTGAACACTCTAGCTCTTGAATAATGTCCTACATGTACATGAAGATCAATAATTCAATATTTTTAGCCCATCCAGAAGATTATGGTCCAAAACTTTGCCTGTCCCATGCATAAATAACCAACATGTGTACCTTCATTTGGGTGAAGTTTCGTGGGTGCGAAGCCTGACGGTGGAACTTCTTGGAGATGGACGCCCAAGCCTTGTACTTGGCCGAGTTGTTCTTGTGATCCGTCTTACGGCATTCTAGGACAGCCACGTGGTCCGCGATCAGTGACAACAGCAAGCCTTTGTCCTCCTCACTGAAATTATCGGCGCGCGTCTTCTTGTCCGAACCCCGCATGATGACTGCGATTCCGCCAAAGGCGCAGCTTAAGTTCAAAACACTAAGTGCAGGATTTCGAAATCTACAGGCTGATTATGATACTGCAACCAGTCTTTCGCGAATGTCTACCAGGCCATATGCATTGCTTATTCCGGCTTAATTCAACAGCAGAGTCCTGTATGCACTGTGCCTTACACAGGGAAACATTAACAATACATTGGGTGTACTTCTGAAAACCGACGCCCAACCAAAATGTCTCTTTCAAAATCCTGAATATTAGCACATCCACACTCAAGTCCAAATCAAAACATCCAGCAAAATCTGGTGCAGGATATAAAATAAGTATGGGCTTAAACACCAGCCAAACCAGACTGAATTGGTTACAAAAGAGCACAGCCAGACACACGGATAAGCACTACTGACACAAGGACATACACGTGAGCAGTAATGGCGGGAACTAGCTGTGCACTATGCCCTTCCCTACATACAGGCCTACTAGCCCTGCATGGAAGATAACAAGCCAGGCCTACACAATTGTACACACAGGGCAAGGCAGTCTAGCCTGGCATATGTAATTCAGGCCTGTGTAATGCCCATGCATACACACACATGGAGAAAGCCCCACCATGCCTGCATCACACACAAGCTAGCTAGGGCAGGGATCAATGCACCTGCATAATTGATTGGGTCGCTCCATGTGGCGCAGAGGGGTGTTGGTAATTAGGAGGGGATACAGGCATTTGGGTAATACAGTGTCCTGTGTTTCTAATCTGTGTACACTGTATCAATGCAGTGAAGTACAAAGTGCGTGTAGGTTCTGTTTCCTGTATCAAACGTTAACAGAACTGCTCAAACGGGAATTTCTACAAGATTGAAGAGGGAGGGGGTTGAAATGAAGAAATCTTTTTTTTTTTTTTTAAAAGAAGTGGCAAGTAAGCACTGAAATAAGAAGTATGAATCATATAAGTGAATTAATGACAAATGCCATTACTCTGTGTTTCTTCACATGAGATACCCCCTTCAAACAAAAACCACCCCAAAAACATAAAACTACTAAATCATGAATTTTACTCTTGAGAAGTTTGACTGATTGTGTGATCACAATAAATCATTTTTTAGGGTAAAATCAAATGTAAATTTACATGTTTGTGGTTGGACTTTCTAACAAGTATTCCTTTTTTTTTCACTTCATGAAAATTACTAAACTATATGCAATTTTCATTTTATGGAAAAAATAAAGGTAAATGGTAGGAAACACACATCCATTAATCAAAAATCAAAACATATCTTTGCTTTTTTGTTCCTTAATTAAATTTAAAAAGTCACCGGTAAATTATGGGATAAATCAGGATTCTGGAATTAGGTCTGTTCATAAAGTTTCATCATTGATTTTTCTTGTTTTCAAAACTAAGCTCAATGATTGTCTACAGTGGCACGCAATAAAATGAAAAACTCTTAGTGATTCAACTCACCAATGGATAAGCGGTAAGGCATTCTTCCTCGGTAGAGCATGCTGAAAATACCAGCGACTTAAACTTGTGATGTACATGATGCTGAATGCCGACTAACCTACACTGGCCCAGCATTTTATACAACTATGGACACTAGGCTACAATCACCCCTACCGTATTTTATGACAAATAAAAGTCAGTTTACAAAACACGAGGAATCGCGTTACGGCACTCAAAAGGGCTCAATATAAACAGGTTAAATGCCGTTCGCGAGCTTGGAATTTGGGCTAAACTTACAGGCCTGGCCTTTTTGCCCCTCCGCATCTCACTGGCAAATATTTACCGAGCTCTAATGACCCTAAACAGGCCAACAGCAATTGAATACTCTAAATTGAAGTTTACGGACAGACGTTTCAAGTGCGCCAAAAAGTAAATAACACCCCCAAACCATGAAACACACCAAAAAGTTTTCGCTGCAACTTCGAGAAATGGACTTCTGTTGTGTTATCTGTTCGATGCCCAAAGCGATGACTTTTAGACAAACGGAACAAGTGGATACAGATTTGACATTAAAAAAAACAGCTCTCAAAAGCAATTTTTTATAAATTATTTTAAGCAAGAAATTGTAGGCTTTTAAAATGTTATTTTGCCTATGAGCTACAAGTAAGTAAATAGTGACACGTTTCGGAAATCAACAACCTTAAACTGCACATTAATCCATTAGTCACTGTACCGCCCAAAACCGCCCTGCGTATTACTCCCTGTGTCGCCTAAAACCGTGAATAAACACAATGTTATACGGTGAAGTACAGCTCCCTATGGGTTGAAATTACATTGTACATCCACAGACAAGTGCACTTCTGAAGTTACGAGATCCTACCATTCGAGATGCTCAAGTACAGACTCATTCACATCATGAATGATACACGCACAATGTACAGCAGTACACAAGGGCCTACTGTATCTGAAGCAGATTTGACCAAATGAAACACTGACCCATTTTTCTACCTACCGCAATGGCACCCGGCCAAAGAACGGATCCCGCCTCAGTTGCAGCACTAGTCCAGCATAGGGACACACGTCGCCATCAGAATCCATCATCCATCACAACTTCCAACTCTCACGGCCGCGAACAACTTAAACCAGGAAATTTCCCCTCATAATGTTTTTTTCCCTCCAAAATTTCCAACCGTATATGATTCTAACTGCGAAAAGACAGACTATGTGTGCATGATTTGCAGGGCAGATAGTCGTTAAAAAAAATGCCCACTTGATGTTGTTGATTCAGTCACTTAGCGAGTATTACTTTGGACTACCGGAGATATGCGTGAACCTTCTCGACACCTAATCACAATAAGGACTCGATTGGAAACTCTGCCTATACTGCAATTTAGCTGGCATACTATGAAAAGCACATGGTGATTTGCTCTGTATGCATGCACCTCGAGCAGCTGTACGTAAGGCTTCGTCCATTCTCTCTCTCTCCGGTAGCACCATCCTGCGATATTTGCCTCGGGTTGTCATCGCCTTGTATCCCTTTTCATAGATACAGGTCCGGCGCTGTGTGTCTATTTGAAGAGGCATTAGCAAAAGCAACTAGAGAACAATTCCTTGCCAGTTCTGTAGATGGGTTTTAAGTAAATCTTGTGCAAACATCAGGCCATCTCATCCTCTGTGCAAATAATCCATAAGTCTTATTGTTTTGGAATGGCCTAAGGGAGTTTTTGTTTTCTCCGGGTTAACGCTAATGCTTGTGATAATAAATGAGAATGGCACACTATTGACATCTTAGTGAAGAGGCTACATTTTTCAAAGTTTTGTACATTGTGCATATGATTTGTATAAAGCATTAAGTGGTTTGTAGACTTGTAGATTGAAGGATTGAAGCAATATTTTCATGCATCTGTTCAGTCATATTCTAAAGTCACTTGTGAAACATCTGCTTTGAATCTGTCAACTTCATGTAAGTGTTGAATGGTGACCATGGCACACTGCATTTTAGTTATTTCAAAACATTTGAAACAAATTTTGAACAAATCATTTCAATTAAACCCACCAAGCCTGAATGTTAATTGATGAAGTAAAACACAAAAGACCTCAGGATGAAATCAATCTGTAATCCCCTAAAAATTGTCCGAAATTTTCATATATTTGATGTACAAATGTAATCCTGTTATTCTGTGTAACTGGTTTACAGACAAATCTCACAATTTTGTTCCAAAAGTTGTGAGGGCCACCTGACAATTTTTGGGACCAAAAATCATTGTGGGGTGACTTGAAAGTCTCCACAAAGTCAAAAAGTTTCCAAGCAAAACAACAGAAAACTTCCCCACAAAGCAGTCCTGGCCAGACTTCTTCCTGGGCTCAGTCCAGTCCTAAATACACCTGTCTCATTACAAGTATTACCATACATCAATGGGATCCTTATCACCACCTGCCAATTACTTTTGGGTGCTAAATGGCTGATTACTTGATTGACAATCAACCACACAACAAGGAGGGGCTTGTGGTTAGGGATACCCCATGAGCAGTACTGTGAGTGCATCATAATGGCATCACTTCTTTTAGAAGAATCACCAGGAGTAGGCTTGCAACATAATCATGAAGACTGTCTCAGCTTTAAGCCTGCTCCCTTCTCCATGGTCAAATTGTAATTTTACCATAGCTGTTCCAATTAACAATTTCCCACACACTATTACATATTTCTTATCTTTTCTTTTAAAGTTAGACCATGGACACTTCCAAAAGGTTTACACCTACTGGAAGTTTTTGCAACAGCAGAAACAAAATAATAAGTTTCCACTGATATATCTGTACTTATTAACCAGTTCACGTCGGATGACGTGTATATATACACAAACGTTTTGCGGTTTTCGGAACAATGACGGATAAACACGCCACGAGCGAGGCCGGCAATATCTGTCAGTGACCCGCTCGCAGCGAGCGAGGCCGGAAATATCAGGGTGTGCTACCCGCAGATGATGGCCTGAACCTGTCTGGCATCGAGGTTTATAAAAAACAATCCCGCGTCTGGGTCCGGTCAATGTCAAAATAATCCCTGCGCCAACTGGTTAACGTATGTTTGACCGTATTTGAAAATTGGTGGTTGACTGGCCAGAAGAAATTAAGTACAAAATTTGAACTTACCTTGCGAAATGATCTAGACAGGATCCCAGGGTTCGAAACTTCTTCGACTTAATCACCATGGCCAATTGAAATAAAAATGTGTACCAATCGAAAATGGAACATCTACTTAAACAGACATCCAACTTGACATTGCTCTGACTCCATACACTGGTCCAGTTGTCTACATTTTTAACTTTAAAATTGGTTGAGCTACAAAAAGTCTCTCAAAGTAAACAACAGAGCTGAAAACTTTGTTCCTTTTAACACAGCTTTCCATCCTGAAGATTTCCTTGAAAATCACTTGTTGCAAACCTGTTGCAACATTGATGAGAGTTGAAGTGGCGTCTGCTCTGAGATTTTTTTCACAAACCGAACCATGTATTAAAAAAGGCACCACCACCAGACAGATCGAGACTTACAACAATAGAGTTTGGAGACTGTTTGTTTGGTGGGGGATCACGGCTTTAGTTTTGAGTCAAACTCAGGAACCAAATCAATAATCACGCAGGCATTTGGAATGGGACAGTTATCAGCTGTACAATTGTGTATCGCTTTCATCGATTGTCATCCACAATCTGTAAACAAATTCCAGAGAGTTATGGAAAAATGAAATGAAGTTTTTCGAACTCGCATGTATTTCACAGAGGGAGCAGCCCCGTCCCCTTAGTGGACCCATGATCCAGACCTCGCAATTCACTGGTACTGATGACTTACCATTTACTGTGTTGTTGGCGTTTCAACATCATGGCATCAAACAGCACCCAATTGGAGTTGATCTTGGGCAGATTCAGGCCGGAGCCGTTCTTGCCGTTGGCACCGAATCCCTGGACCTTTAAGTCCCCGTGGGTTACCCTGTCTGGCATGTCATCGGCAGATCCCAACAACGATTCGGAAGCCGGCTCATCCCTGACACTGACGGCAATTGACTAAATCCAACCCCTGGCCATGCCTGACCTCTAGTTGAATGCTGGCTGCTTCCTTTGACTGCAATTTTGTTTTATGGCATGCATCCATTCATTAAAAAGAAATACTCCGAAGTCATATATTACAAGTTATCTCATGGAGTTGACGTAAATATGCG